AAAAAACACATTTTCAAAACAAACCTTATCCCATATGAGCTCAGCTCCATCTCCTTTTTCTGCTAAATGAACTCTCAAAGTCTCAATGCTCTTTGAAAAAAGACATGCATAGCTCTTCACATCTAGAACCTGCTGGTCTTTCAGACCTAACTGGGGTTCATTTTGTTGGTCTGATGTGTTGGTTTCCTCTCCTAAAATTAAAAAAAAAAAATTAGAAATTTCAGTAATAAATACCATTTATCAATTGGATTCCATTGAACAAATTCAATCCTTCACCAATAAGGGGGGGAAAAAAAGGACACAATGGAGAACACCCCTAATCTAAGCTACAGAGGAGTACAGGACAGAAGGACTACCAGTTTGTAAATGAGGAGTTGAAGGGAAGGGAGAAAATGGGGGCAGGGGAGAGACACATATAGTACATACAAATTCCATAAGATGAAGTTTATCATTGTGCACATCTAAAAGGTACCAATAATTTTTTTTTTTTTTTGCTCCGAATGCCTTCAGGGCAGGTTTGGCTGTCTTTTGAGTTCTGGGGATCGGAACCACAGCAACCTGAGCCTGACTGCTTTGTTGAAGCAGCCACTTAAAGAACTGAGCTAAGGGGCAGGCCCCCCCCTTTTTAAAAAGACAAAGGATCTCCCAAGTTTCAGGCTAGCCTGAACAAGTTAGTGAAACCCTGTGTCACATACAAAAAAATAAAAAAGAACTAGGGATGCAGCTCTCCTTGAGCTCTAGATTTAATCTTCAGCATTGGAAAAAAAAAAAAAAAAGTGGGGGGAGCCTTGATTAAAATTATCCATTATCACAACACAAATATCTGTACAAGAGACCTAATAAAAAGTTTAGGTGGCAGGGCAGGCCAAATAGCTCAGGGGATTAAAGCGTCTGCTTGGGGACAGGGTTCCACCTGGCCCCACCCCTGGGGCCCTGAGACGGCTGGGCAGATGGCACAAGTCTGTAATCCCAGCTCTTGAGAGGCTGTAACAGGCAATCACAATTACTAAAAATCCAATCTAGTAGTGAGACCCTCAACACCCTATAGACCCTTCCTAAAATTAAAAACAAAAAACAAAAAACCTTAGGTGATAAAGGTTAAGAGCATGTCAGGACCTCACATGGTTACTGGCAAGTTGGGGAATGTAATACAAAGGGGAAAAAAATATATTACACATATATATAAAGCACATACGATGAGCCTTATTTAATACTAAGTGAAAGCTGTTTGCCCTGTAAATTAAGTATTCTGTGTTGTTGAAAACTGTTTAAGTGATATCTAATGTCTCTAGGAAACTTAAGTGCTCTATACTGCCTTGAGTGAACAATTCAGATAGAGAGAAAAAATCTATCAACAAAAGTAAGTTGCGGGGGCTAGGGAGATGGCTCAGAGGAATAAGCGCTTCCCTGGCAAGCGCAAGGGCCTGAGTTCAATCCCCGGTTCCACAGGAAAAAAAAAAAAAAAAAAAAATGCAGGGAGGTTCAATTTCCACTGGTTCGAACCGAGATACTCAGGCCAAATCCAGGCCTCCAAAAAAAAAAAAGTAGGTTGGGGAAGTACTACTGCACTTGACATTTAAAACAAAACTG